GGACGAGAGAGTACATGGTGGCAGTGTTTCAGTATCTGAGGGGCTGCCCCAAAGAAGAGGGAGTCAAGCTATTCTCCAAAGCGCCTGAAGGCAGGATGAGAAGCAACGGATGGAAGCTAATCAAGGAGAGAAGCAACTTAAAACTTAGAACTAAGGAGAAACTTCCTGACAGTGAGGACAATTAACCAGTGGAACAACCTGCCTCCAGAAGCGGTGAATGCTCCAACACTGGAAGTTTTTAAGAAGAGACTGGACAGCCACTTGTCTGAAATGGTATAGGGTTTCCTGCCTGAGCAGGGGGTTGGACTAGATGACCTCCAAGGTCCCTTCCAACTTTACTATTACTACTACTACTACTACTATCATTATCATTATCATCATTATTATTATTATTTCAGACAAATGGCTGTCCAGTCTCTTAAAAACTTCCAGTGTTGGAGCATTCACCGCTTCTGGAGGCAGGTAGTTCCACTGATTAATTGTTCTTACTGTCAGGAAGTTTCTCCTTAGTTCTAGGTTGCTTCTCTCCTTGATTAGTTTCCACCCGTTGCTTCTTGTCCTGCCTTCAGGTGCTTTGGAAAATAACTTAACTCCCTCTTCTTTATGGCAGCCCCTGAGATACTGGAAGACAGCTATCATGTCCCCCCTCGTCCTTCTCTTCATTAAACTAGACATATCCAATTCCAGCAGCCTTTTCTTATATGTTTTAGCTGGCTGTGTGATTCACACAACATCTGCAGCGATTCGCTTAACATCCGTGGTCAAAAAGGTTGTAAAATAGTGCACTTGCTTAGCAAATGGAAATCCAGGTCTCAGCTGCGGACGTGAGTGGAGGACCACCTGTGTTGCAATCTTACCTGCATTTCTTAGGGAAGGAAGGCCTATTTATATATTCTTCTAATAAGGAAATTCAAGCTGGCTTAATACTTTTGCCACACTTAACGAGGCTCAGCTACTATCCTTATCAACAAGAGGCTGAATTCTCCCATGTTGTTAATATTTGGACAGAGAACTCTGTACGAGTGCCAGTGGGGGCATTCTTTTCACAGGAGCTGGAATTTTGTTGCTGGCTAAACATATCGTTATGTCGAACCCCAGATAAGAGATTTAGGATCTGCCAAATCTTATCAGGATGGTCTGAAGTCGAAAAGAAAGAAAGTCGCAAAAGGCGATCACTGGATGTTTTTAAGAAGAGACTGGACAGCCATTTGTCCGAAATGGTGTAGGGTTTCCTGCCTGAGCAGGGGGTTGGACTAGATGACCTCCAAGGTCCCTTCCAACTTTACTACTATTACTTGAACCCCAGGACATCATTCATGGAACTGGCATAAATACAAGCCGGTTGCAAGCATCCCAGTTTTGATCACGTGACCCTGGGGATGCCGCAACCTCGTCCGCTTGACGAATAGTCATAAGTCCCTTTTTTTTTCAATGACGCAACTTCAAATGGTCACCAAACGAACGTCTTTTAAGTCGAGGGCCACCTGTGCTCTTCTCCTTTTCTTCGATCATCTGCTTTTTTCAGTGATTCTTGGAAATGGGAGGAAAAAGCACCATTTTAAAGCGCCGTCCGATTGGTAGGCACCGTCTACTTTCCCTTAAGTTCTCAGAGAGAAAGAGGTATTATTTCATGCCTCCATGGGCAAGGTTTCCCATGAGTTGCACGTTTAAACTATATAATTGCTGACAGTCTCTGACAGGAGGCCACCTGAAGAGAGGAGAAGCATTGGAAATGTGCATTGACAGGCTGTTACGAAGAAAGCTGGGTTGACAAGATCAGAAACGAGGTGATAAGCCGCCTGGGAAAGCCCAGGGAAATCATCAAAACAATTAAAAGACGAAAATTAGAATATTTCGGACACATGATGCGACACCCAGAAAAATACGGCCTACTCCATTTAATCCTCCAGGGAAAGATGGAAGGCCAACGAGGTCCAGGCAGAAGAAGAACATCGTGGCTTCAAAATCTAAGGGACCGGTTTGGACAAAACTCAGCAGCACTTTTTTGTGCGGCTGCTGATAAAAACAGGATCGCCAACAGGATCGCCAACGTCCCATAACGGATATGGCATAACAACAACAAGAAGAATTGCTAACTGATAGAAAAACAGAAAACTTGAGATTATGGATCTTTGCACAGATTAATTCCAAATTATTATTATTATTATTATTTTTTGCAAGAAATGTTGAAGAATAGAACAGCGTTTCTTTCTGTTGGAAACACACATTGTTCTGTGATCGAATTGAACCCCCCTCTTCTGCCATCCCAGACAGAAACACGTGAATCTTGAGTTATTTAGATTTGATCACGCACTCGGAGGTAAAATGTATTTTCTCCTCTTTTCCCTGTTCAAGGCAGCGTGCATTTTTACTTCAATTTGACGGAACCGAACATGACTCAGAACATCATTTGCAGATGAATTGGATAGAGCCTGTTTACTTCATCTCATTCATGTGCAAATGATACCCTGAGTCATGCTCAGCTCCATCAAATTTCACGATTTAAACAGGAGAGAATGTCCTTTTATTCAAGGCTGATGTCGGTGGAGTTGTTCAGAGAAGGTCAGCCAGATCCGGACCCCAAATAACTCAGCGAAACAGCGGTGGGCAGCAAATAAATTTAATTAACAAATAAAATGAAAACGTTCTGTCTTTGAAAGAACTGTATTTCTCAATTTCCACCAGCTGATCAATAGCTGGCAGTCCCTGGCTGACCTCTTTGTGGTAAAGGTCAAGCTTCTCACTCATCCCTGGGATTACTAGATTCCATCGCCTTTCTAAAGTGACCTGCGAGGAGGCCGGGAGCTGCAAAGATCAGCTCGCGTGATCCACAGCCGATTTTATCACGCATGCTTGTGCTTCAGCAACAGCACATAAATCGAAAGCTGCAGGGCGTGTTATGCAATGTAAATTCCGCTCCCCCTGCTCCGCTATCGGCCAGCCATCTTCATGTTTGGCAGAAAGATGAAAGCGTGAGCTTGCAGCTCTGCAAATCGTCCCGGGTTTCGCGGAAAGAATTTGGCAAAGCAAAGAATAGCACGTATTAAGGCTTTCTGAGATCGGCAGCAAAAAATATAACAAATTCTGGCTTGTTCTGGTCTTTTATTGAACCGCAATCAAAGCGGTTTCATAAGACTTCTGCAAAGTCTGACATTTGAACGATCGTTGGTTACCAAATTGATCGTTAACGCGGGGTTTGGTGGGGAATTGTAGACGGTTTTGTGATGTGTTTTGTGCTTCCTTCTCCTTGCCCAGTTGTACAGTAGTGTTAGCCCGTGAGGGATGTAATTGATTTGGTACGGTGATGAAGGTGCTGGACTGTTCTCTCTCAATCTTTCCTTAGGCATGAAATGCTGGTTGGGTGACTTTCGGCCTGTGGTTCTCTCTCGGCCCAACCCACCTCATATGGTTAATAATAATAATAATAAAGTCAGAAGGGGCCTTGGAGGTCAAATAGTCCAACCCCCTGCTCAGGCAGGAAACCCTGTACCATTTCAGACAAATGGTTGTCCAGTCTCTTCTTAAGTGTTAGAGCATTCACCGCTTCTGGAGGCAGGTTGTTCCACTGGTGAATTGTTCTAACTGTCAGGAAGTTTCTCCTTAGTTCCAGGTTGCTTCTCTCCTTGATCGGTTTCCATCCGTTGCTTCTTGTTCTGCCTTCAGGGGCTTTGGAAAACAGCTTGACTCCCTCTTCTTTGGGGCAGCCCTTGAGATACTGGAAGACTGCTATCAATGTCCCCCCTCATCCTTCTCTTCATTAAACTAGACATACCCAATTCCAGCAACTGTTTTTTGTATGTTTTAGTCTCCAGTCCCCTAATCATCTTTGTTGCTCTTCTCTGCACTCTTTCTAGAGCGGTGGTTCTCAACCTGTGGGTCGCGACCCCATTTGGGGTCGAACGACCATTTCACGGGGGTCGCCAAACAAGGCTGTCTGCCATTTTTTCCCCCTTTTCTTTGGCCACGCCCCTGGCACCCGGTGATGTATAAGTGGTTGGGGGTCACCACAATATGGGGAACTGTATTATGGGGTCGCGGTTGAGAACCACTGTTGAGAACCACTGTTGAGAACCACTGTTGAGAACCACTGTTCTAGAGTCTCAACATCTTTTTTACGTCGTGGTGACCAAAACTGGATGCCGTATTCCAAGTGTGGCCTTACCAAGGCCTTGTCGAGTGGTACTAACCCTTCACGTGATCCTGATTCTCTGTTAATGCAGCCCAGCACTGAGTTGGCTTTTTTGGCAGCTGCAGCACATTGCTGGCTCATATTTTGTTCATATTACTAAAGTTGGAAGGGACCTTGGAGGTCATCTAGTCCAACCCCCTGCTCGGGCAGGAAACCCTACACTATTTCGGACAAGTGGCTGTCCAGTCTCTTCTTAAAAACTTCCTTTTTTTAAGAAATTTTGGTGATTGTCTACTAGGACTCTCTCTCTCTCTCTCTCTCTCTCTCTCTCTCTCATTCTCTCTTGGTGCTCTCTGAACTTGACTGTCTTCTTGCAGATGTTTCATGATTCAACTAGATCAGTGGTGGTGAACCCATGGCACGGGTGCCAGAGGCAGCACTCAGAGCCCTCTCTGTGGGCACACACGCCGTTGCCCCAGTCCTGGGCCTTCAGCTGGATTTTATAAAACCTTTTCGCTTTAGGCCTCCACCGCCGTGTGCAAAAAAAAAAAAGGTTCAGTCAGTCAGTCAATTTCAACTTCTCGCGGGGAAAAAAAAGATCTTGCAAAGTTGGAATTGATTGATTGAACTTTTTAGTCCCACCCAGTCTGCTGTCACCACCGCAACCACGCCCAGCCAATGGGCCACACCCAGCCAATGGGCCACACCCACCCGGCACCCAACAATGCATAAGTGGGTTTTGGTTGCAGTTTGGACGGTCTCTAAAACGTTCGCCATCACTGCCCTAGACCATTTCGGACAAGTGGCTGTCCAGTCTCTTCTTAAAAACTTCCAGTGTTGGAGCATTTACCGCTTCTGGAGGCAGGTGGTTCCACGGGTTAATTGTTCTCACTGTCAGGAAGTTTCTCCTTAGTTCCAGGTTGCTTCTCTCCTTGATGAGTTTCCACCCGTTGCTTCTTGTCCTGCCTTCAGGAGCTTTGGAAAATAATAAAATCCTGTCTTTAAGATCGTTTAAGTTCCAGGCTCTCTGCGTATTTTTATGTTTTATCTCTTTTTTTAATGGATTTTATTTTATTTTATTTTGCAGGCCGCCCAAGGTCCCGTCGGATTTGGACGGCTATAACAAATTTGAATAAATGAAGGGAAAGGCCAGTGTGGAAGAGTCAACGGAGACAAACCTTACAATAGCTCCAGAGGTTTTCAGGCTGATGCACAGCTGGGGAAGCTGGAAGCTGGGTTGAGTCAGACCTGCTTCCCCCTCACTCTTCCAAGCAGTGGGATATAACAACGGAAGCTGATGTTGGCTGAAGTGGTTTGCTTGCTCGATCGTAGGTGGCCGAGTTACTAGATAGCCTGGCTTTCTCTGGGGTGCTTGGTGCTCTCCGAGGTGGGCAGTTTTCTTGCAGATGTTTCATTGCCAAACTAGGTAACATCATCCGTGTTAGAAGGATGTAGGGTTTGCTCGCTGTTTAACCTCACTTCCTTCTAGCACTCAGGATGTTACCTGGTTTGCTAATGAAATGTCTGCAAGAAAACAACCCAGCTCAGAGAGCATCAAGGGCCCCCTTTCTAGCACTGATGATGTTCCCTAGTTGGGTCATGAAATGTCTGCAAGAAAACCACCAAGCTCAGAGAGCACCAGCGATCCCACAGTCGTCGTTGTCCTCCTCCTCCCTCCTCCTCCTCCTCCTCCTCCTCCTCCTCCTCCTCCTCCTCCTCCTCCCTTCTAGCACTGATGATGTTCCCTAGTTGGGTCATGAACTGTCTGCAGGAAAACCACCAAGCTCAGAGAGCACCAAGGACCCCATAGTCCTCCTCCTCCTCCTTTCTATAAACTCCCACTCTCTCCTAGCATTGATGATGTTCCCTAGTTGGGTCATGAAACGTCTTCAGGAAAACCACCCAGCTCAGAGAGCACCAAGGACCCCCCCCAGTCGTCGTCCTCCTCCTCCTTCTCTCTCTCTCTCTCTCTCTCTCTCTCTCTCTCTCTCTGTCTGTGTGTGTGTGTGTGTGTGTGCAAACCGCCCTCCCTTCTATCACTGATGATGTTCCTTAGCTGGGTCACAAAACGTCTGCAAGAACACCACCTAGTCAGAGAGCACCTGGGACCCCACAGTCGTTGTCCTCCTCCTCCTCCCCCCTTCTAGCACTGATGATGTCCCCTAGTTGGGTCATGAAAGGTCTGCAAGAAAACCACCCAGCTCAGAGAGCACCGGGGATCCCACAGTCTTCCTCCTCCTCCTCCTCCTCCTTCTCTCTCTCTCTCTCTCTCTCTCTCTCTCTCTCTCTCTGTGTGTGTGTGTGTGTGTGTGTGCGTGCAAACCCCCCTCCCTTCTATCACTGATGATGTTCCCTATCTGGGTCACAAAACGTCTGCAAGAACACCACCCAGTTCAGAGAGCACCTGGGGCCCCACAGTCGTCGTTGTCTTCCTCCTCCTCCTCCTCCTCCTAGCACTGATGATGTTCCCTAGTTGGGTCATGAAAGGTCTGCAAGAAAGCCACCAGCTCAGAGAGCACCAGGGACCCCACAGTCTTCCTCCTCTTCTTCTTCCTCCTCCTCCTCCTCCTCCTCCTCCCTTCTAGCACTGCTGATGTTCCCTAGTTGGGTCATGAAATGTCTGCAAGAAAACCGCCAAGCTCCGAGAGCACCAGGCAGCCCACCATTCAACCCTGAGCTACAGATATTCCCCCCTAGCACCGTCTCTCCCAGATAGCATGAGTTCCTTCACCAGATCGTCAGCCCTCCAGGAGTGCGCGCCTCCCCATTTTCCCGAGCCCCTGCGAAGTCTGACCCTGCTCCTCCTTTCCCTCGCAGAACCCTAAGACCAAAGAGCAGATCGAAAGCCTGTTACGGAATGGGAAGAATAAGGAGCTACGGGACCGTCTCTGCCGCCGGCTGACCTTTGGGACCGCCGGCCTGCGCTCCGCCATGGGGGCCGGCTTCTGCTACATCAACGATCTTACCGTGATCCAGTCCACCCAGGTGAGTGTCAGAGCCATTGTGAAGGTTCAAAGCGGTGTGTCTCCCCCTAGCCCCCCCCTCTGTCCTCTCCCCCCCTCGTATGACCTCAGATGCCATCATTGCCCCACAGGGTGGGAAAGCCCTAACCTGGATTTGGAAAAGCAAACAAACAAACAAAAAAGACCCATGGTTTAATACCACGTTTGCCTCTGATACATCCTTGGGGCGTCTAAAGCCGTGTTTCTCAAACGTGGCAACTTGAAGCTGCACGAGCTTCAGATCCCAGAATTCGACACGAAGACGTGTGGACTTAGCAAACTCCCAGAATTCCACTTTAGACACGCAACGGAGGGAAACTAACCAAGGAGAGAAGCAACCTGGAACTAAGGAGAAACTTCCTGGCCATGAGGACAATGAACCAGTGGAACCACCTGCCTCCAGAAGCGGTGAATGCTCCAACACTGGAAGTCTTTAAGAAGAGACTGGACAGCCATTTGTCCGAAATGGTGTAGGGTTTCCTGCCTGAGCAAGGGGTTGGACTAGATGACCTCCAAGGTTCCTTCCATCTTTATTATTATAACTTCAACTCTCAGAATTCAACTTTTCAGATGTGTGGACTTCAAGTCTCAGAATTCCCCAGCCAGCATGGTTGGCTGGGGAATTCTGGGACTTGAAGTCCACACATCTGAAAAGTTGCCGCTTTTGTTGCATCTATATACAAAGTCTACGCTGGGGATTCTCGGAGTTGAAGTCCATAATAATAATAAAGTTGGAAGGGACCTTGGAGGTCATCTAGTCCAACCCCCTGCTCAGGCAGGAAACCCTTTACCATTTCAGACAAATGGCTGTCCAGTCTCTTCTTAAAAACCTCCAGTGTTGGAGCATTCACCGCTTCTGGAGGCAGCTGGTTCCACTGGTTAATTGTTCTCACTGTCAGGAAGTTTCTCCTTAGTTCCAGGTTGCTTCTCTCCTTGGTGGGTTTCCATCCGTTGCTTCTTGTCCTGCCTTCAGGCGCTTTGGAGAATAGCTTGACTGCCTCTTCTTTGGGGCAGCCCCTGAGATACTGGAAGACTGCTTTCATGTCCCCCCTCGTCCTTCTCTTCGTTAAACTGGACATACCCAGTTCCAGCAACCGTTCCTTCTATGCTTTAGCCTCCAGTCCCCTGATCCTCTTTGTTGCTCTTCTCTGTACTCTTTCCAGAGTCTCAGCATCTTTTTTACATCGTGGTGACCAAAACTGGATGCCGTATTCCAAGTGTGGCCTTACCAAGGCCTTGTAAAGTGGTATTAACACTTCACGTGATCTTGATTCTCTCCCTTTGTTAATGCAGCCCAGCCCAGTGGTATTAAAGTGGTCTCAACCTCTCTTTTTTTGCTGTTGCTGTTCTGTCCCTTTCACCTTGGGTTGCGGGCAGGTTTTCACTAGCCTAGAAGAACCAGGGATTTACCCTAAAGGGCCACTTATCTGAGGGAGAAAGCAAGAGCTGGCACTGTTTTGGAAATGTTGGCCTTGTGGAGAATGTCAACAAGCTCCTTCCTGTTGACTAGGCACCCAGCGTTCAAGGAAACAGATTTGCCCAATCTTGTTAAGTAGCTCTCAGAAAAAAAAAAAAGTGCTCGGGGTTACCGGTGAACTTGGCTTCACCTCCCTTACAGAATAAAACAATAAAAGGCTTGCTCTTCTGAGCTTCCTGGAGGAATATTACAATAGAGAAGATTTGTTTTTTTTTTCCTGAGACTGCTAGAATATTAAGTGGTGCTTTGTTTGTTTGTTTTTTTAAAAAAAAGATTTAAGTGGAGTAAACCCCTGAGGAAACCCATTTAGGAATGAACTCAAAGGACGGTTGCGTGGCCCTGTTAAGAAACAGCCATGCTCAGCGCGGGAAGTGCTGTCCTTGCCAGCGAAGGGAGCGTGTCTGTTTTATCTGTTTTTTTTCCCTTTTTTTTAATCTTGGGCAAAGGGGAATATTCCAAGGAAGTCTGTGACAGCGATGCAATAGGGCCGTGGTGGCGAACCTATGGCACGGGTGCCAGAGGCGGCACTCAGAGCCCTCTCTGTGGGCACGTGCGCCGTCACCCTAGTCCTAGGCCTTCAGCTGGGTTTTATAAAACCTTTTCGCTTTAGGCCTCCGCCGCGTGTGCAAAAAAAAAAAAAAGGTTCAATCAATCAGTCAATTTCAACCTCTCACAGGAAAAAAAAAAAGATCTTGGAATCGATTGATTGAACTTTTTAGTCCCACCCAGTCTGCCGTTACCGCCAAAGCCACGCCCACCCAATGGGCCACACCCATCCAATGGGCCACGCCCACCCGGCCCCCGACGATAACGTAAGTGGGTTTTGGGTTGCAGTTTGGGCACTCGGTCTCTAAAAGGTTCACCATCACTGGTCTACCCCCTTCTTAAAAACCTCCAGTGATGGAGTGCTCACGATTTCTGGTGGCAAGCTGTTCCACTGGTTAACTGTCCTCACTGTCAGGAAGTTTCTCCTTAATTCCAGGTTGCTTCTCTCTTTGATCAGTTTCAAATCATTTCTCATCCTTCCCTCAGGGGCTTTGGTGAACAACCTGACCCCCTCTTCTTTGGGGCAGCCCCCCAAATACTGCAATACTGCTACCATGTCTCCCCTGTTTCTTCTTTTCTTTAGACTAGCCAAACCCAAGTCCCGTAGACTTTCATTCTCCTCTTTTCATTGAATTGCCCGTGTGTGGAGTTATTAAAAAAATCTTAATTCTGAGTATTTGAAATATGAAGAGGTTGTGTTTGTGCGCCCAGGATTGAAAAGCTGTCTCCAGCAGGACTTGCTGTACAGTAATATCAACACGAACTAATAGAAACCAGAACGGAGCAGGTCAAGAGATCGTGGATCACCTTGGAAGCACGCAAACAACTCTGGACTTCCTTCTCCTTGAGTCAGAGTTGGTCATGCTCCAAAAGCCTGCCCTGCACGTGCTGACTTTGTGTTTTGGTTCGCTGGGAAGAATGCGCAGCCAGTTTGAGATGGGCTGATAAATCATAATAGGCGTTTTTGGAAGAAAGTTCAAATTCAGGCACCAGGGAATCTCCGTGGCTGCGTTCTGTTTTGTGGACGAAGTTCTGCGCTGCTCGATGTTTGCTTCCCTAATTCTTGTGGGTTGCCCGGGTGGGCATTCTCTGCTGTGGCTGTTCTTTTTTTCTTTTTTCTGTGTAGATTTTATGAGTTTATTAGTTTTTATAGGGTTGGCTTGGAGTTAGGGTTGGGGTTGGGTTTTTTTCCAAATAACATTTTCAATATTTAGCAAACGGCACAATGTCTGGGTACACGCATTTAACTAACAATAATAGATATAGTTAATTGTCATAAACAATAGGTTAATTCATCACTCCATAGCCTTCTTCTTCTTCTTACTAATATATATTCAAAATTACATATCACATTCCTTTCTCTCTGATGCAGTGGCTGTTCTTTTGATCTAGCAGAATTGTGGTGGTTATTTGGTTATGAACAAATCCTTATGTATGCATGCATCTGTGTATGTGTGTGGTGTGTGTGTGTATACACACACACAAACAAACACATACATACATACATACATACATACATACATACATACATATAGTATTTTTATACATAGAGGGAGGGGGGAGACTGCACACGTGCCAACACCAGACTAGAAAACGGGACAGTGAGTTAAGATAACCTTTATCTTCAGTTTTTACTGTGGGCATATTGGCACACATTAAAAATGAAATTCTGTTGCCTGCTCTCAAAAGTGTACACATACATAACACACACATAACATAACACACCCCCTGCTCAGGCAGGAAACCCCATACCATTTTGGACAAATGGCTGTCCAGTCTCTTAGAATAGAATAGAGTTGGAAGGGACCTTGGAGGTCATCTAGTCCAGCCCCTTGCTCAGGCAGGAAACCCTAAACCATTTCAGACAAATGGCTGTCCAGTCTCTTCTTAAAAACTTCCAGTGTTTACCGTTTCTGGAGGCAAATGGTTCCCCTGGTTAATTGTTCTAACTGCTGCAACGGTCGCAGGAAAAACGGCCGTTAGTTCACTTTTTCCAGTGCTGTTGTAACTTTGAATGGTCACTAAACAAATGGTTATAAGTCAAGGACGGCCTGTGCATTTTACCTATGCATTTTTCACCCCTTCTCTAGTGTTTCGGGTTTAATCCACGTTGCAGCCAGTTCCAAGAAAAGGACTATGCACTGCAGACGTATTGAGCAAGCAGCTAAGTGTGGTAAAGATCCAGGCACTAGGTCTCCTGCTGACCGAAAGTACCACTATGTTGAAGATAGATTAAAATCTCTCCCTGGAAAATTAGAAGTTGGAATGTGAAGTCGTTGCTTGCCTGGCTTTGTTCTTGTTGTTAGTTGCGAAGCTGTGTCCGACCCATCGCGACCCCATAGACCACGTTCCTCCAGGCCTTCCTGTCCTCTGCCGTCTTCTGGAGTCCATTGAAGCTCACGCCTCCTGCTTCAGGGACTCCATCCAGCCACCTCTTCTCTGCCGTCCCCTTCTTCTCTTGCCCTCCATCTTTCCCAGCATTGGGCTCTTCTCCAGGGAGTCCTTCCTTCTCATTAGGTGGCCCAAGTAGTTGAGTTTCCACTTCAGGATCTGGCCTTCTCAAGAGCAGTCGGGGTTGATCTCCTCCAGGACTGACTGGTTGGATCACCTTGCAGTCCAGGGGACTCGCAGGAGTCTTCTCCAGCACCAGAGTTCAAAGGCCTCCATACTTTGGCGCTAAGCCTTTCTTAGATCCAACTTTCACAGCCACACGTTACAACTGGGAAAACCATGGCCTGGACTATGCATAATTTTGTTGGCAGGGTGATGTCTCTGCTTTTTAGTATACTGTCTAGGTTTGCCATAGCTTTCCTCCCCAGGAGCAAGCATCTTTTAATTTCTTGGCTGCAGTCCCCATCTGTGGTGATTTTGGAGCCCAGGAAGATAAAATCGGTCACTACCTCCATTTCTTCCCCATCTATTTGCCAGGAATTGAGAGGGCCGGATGCTATGATCTTGGTTTTCTTGGTCCCCAAATACACAATTATATACATCTTGAGTGTTTCAGTCTTTTGTGCTGGAGTAACAGAGTTTTTTTTCTCTTTGGCACGTAAGGCATTTTAAGAGTATGCTGTCATGCAGTCATATCTCAGTTTAATAAACTACGGTAAGTTGGAATCCTGCATCCAGTTTTGGTCACCACGATGTAAAAAAGATGTTGAGACTCTAGAAAGAGTACAGAGAAGAGCAACAAAGATGATTAGGGGACTGGAGGCTAAAGCATATAAGGAACGGTTGCTAGAATTGGGTATGTCTAGTTTAACGAAGAGAAGGACGAGGGGGGACAGGATAGCAGTATTCCAATATCTCAGGGGCTGCCATAAAGAAGAGGGAATTAAGCTATTCTCCAAAGCACCTGAAGGCAGGACAAGAAGCAACGGATGGAAATTCATCAAGGAGAGAAGCAACCTGGAACTAAGGAGAAACTTCCTGACAGTGAGAACAATTAATCAGTGGAACCACCTGCCTCCAGAAGCGGTGAATGCTCCAACACTGGAAGTTTTTAAGAAGAGACTGGACAGCTATTTGTCTGAAATGGTGTAGGGTTTCCTGCCTGAGCAGGGGGTTGGACTAGATGACCTCCAAGGTCCCTTCCAACTTTACTACTATTATATTATTAAGTTTGAGTGTTTGGCCCATGGGATGGATCTTCATATACCTTCCTTTCTTCATATCCCTCCCTCTCCTTCTTCCCTCCCTCCCTATTTCCTTTCTTCCCTTCCCTCCCTCCCTAAATTATTGCTTATCCAGAAAATAAGCTGAAAACAAGTTAAAAATTTTAACTGGCACCTTAACAAGTTTTGAACCTGACAATGGCCCACATACCAAAGCATAATAAATGGGAAGCTTTTTGGCATTGTTGTAGATAGCTGGTAGGGAGAAAGAAAGAGGCCACTGATATAGGGATCAACTTAACTTAAATAGAATTGTCTGAATTAGTGTACTGTGCTCAGTCTGGAATAGCGTGTTTGTTTTGGAAATCTTCATTAATGAACTGTTTTACACAGGATCAATTATTTACTGCTCAGCAAATGTTGTGCATTGCGAAGGTTTGCTTTAGCACTTACCTCCACCTATGGGCACTTGGCAAAAGTGACCGAAAGTAGTAATAGTAGTAAAGTTGGAAGGGACCTTGGAGGTCATCTAGTCCAACCCCTGCTCAGGGAGGAAACCCTACACCATTTCGGACAAATGGCTGTCCAGTCTCTTCTTAAAAACTTCCAGTGTTGGAGCATCCACAGCTTCTGGAGGCAGGTGGTTCCACTGGTTAATTATTCTCTCATTCAGGAAGTTGCTCTTTAGTTCCTGGTTGTTTCTCTCTTTGGTTAGTTTCCATCCGTTGCTTCTTGTCCTGCCTTCGGGTGCTTTGGAGAATAGCTTGACTCCCTCTTCTTTACGGTAGCCCCTGAGATATTGGAATACTGCTATCCTGTCCCCCCTCGTCCTTCTCTTCGTTAAACTAGACCAGTGATTCTCAACCTTTCTAATGCCGTGACCCCATAATACAGTTCCCCATGTTGTGGTGACCCCCAAGTGGGCGTGGCCACCAATAAGAGGGAGTAGGACAGCTAGGGAAAAGGGAAAAAAACGGCGGACAGCATGGTTTGGTGACCCCCGTGAAATGGTCATTCGACCCCAAATGGGGTCCCGACCCACAGATTGAGAACCACTTAACTAGACAGACCCAATTCCAGCAACCGTTCCTTATCTTTTTTAGCCTCCAGTCCCCTGATCATCTTTGTTGCTCTTCTCTGCCCTCTTTCTAGAGTCTCAGCATCTTTTTTACATCGTGGTGACCAAAACTGGATGCAGGATTCCGAGTGTGGCCTTACCAAGGCCTTGAAGAGTGGTATTAATACTTCACGTGATCTTTTTCGTTTTTCTTGCAAAGTGATCCAGGGATCAGTAGCTTCAGATAGTAGCTGATTCCAGAGCCTCAGCGTAGGAGACCTTGGGCCAGGCCAGACATCCTGTAAACAAGACTGACTCCTTATCGTTTAAAAGAAAAATACTTTATATTTTCACTGTGTATGCTGCCCAGAGTCAACTTGTGTGAGATAGCTGGCTATCTAAATTTGAGAAATAACAATGAAAACCAAACCCCCATTGACAGACGTTATTCCCCTTCTCGACAAGCTGGGCCTAGCTAGCAAATTTTCCATAGAAAGATAGCTGAGGAACAAAACAAGACAGTGGAGCAAGGGCAGATTCTCCCTTTGATCCCTCATTCTGGCTGAGGATAATTCAGCAGGGAGGAATCAAATATTTATTAAACTACTGAATCATCTATAGCAATAGATGAAAGAAAAGCAACAAAGAGGATCAGGGGACTGGAGGCTGAAACATATAAGGAACGGTTGCTGGAATTGGGTATGTCTAGTTTAAGGAAGAGAAGGACGAGCGGGGGGGGGGGATGACATGATAGCTGTCTTCCAGTATCTCAGGGACTGCCCCAAAGAAGAGGGAGTCAAGCTATTCTCCAAAGCACCTGAAGAAGGCAGGAGAAGAAGCAACGGGTGGAAACTCATCAAGGAGAGAAGCAACCTAGAACGAAGGAGAAACTTCCTGACAGTGAGAACAAGTGGAACCACCTGCCTCCAGAAGTGGTGAATGCTCCAACACTGGAAGTTTTTAAGAAGAGACTAGACAGCCATTTGTCTGGAATGGTATGGGGTTTCCTGCCTGAGCAGGGGGTTGGACTAGGTGACCTCCAAGGTCCCGTCCAGCTCTATTCTGTTCTAAGAGACTGGGCAGCCATTTGTCCAAAATGATATAGGGTTTCCTGCCTGAGCAGGGGGTTGGACTAGATAACCTCCAAGGTCCCTTCCAGCTCTGTTCTGTTCTAAGAGCCTGGGCAGTCATTTGTCTGAAATGGTCAAGGGTTTCCTGCCTGAGCAGGGGGTTGGACTAAATGACCTCCAAGGTCCCTTCCAACTTAATAACAACAACAACAACTTCAGAATTCAAACAGACAAGCACCTGCAACATAATACCCGAGACTTAACAATTGTCGATAAGGAAGACAAAAAAGTCTGGATAGTGGATGTGGCAGTGCCTGGAGACAGCAGAATAGAAGAGAAAGAACTGGAGAAGATAACAAAATACAAAGACCTACAAATAGAAATAGAAAGACTGTGGCAAAAGCAAGCAAGGGTAGTACCAATAGTCATAGGCTCCTTGGGTGCAATCCCAAAACAACTGGAGCACCACTTGAACACCATTGGCATTGACAAATTCGCTATTAGTCAATTGCAAAAGGCGGCCTTATTAGGAACTGCTTCCATCCTGCGACGATACCTGTAATACCATCAAACATCCACATCTACCTATCCCAGGTCCTGGGTAAGGACTCGATAGGTAGACAAAATGCCAAATCCAGTCTGAATATCTGGCTGACTGTGCGATGATCCATAATAATAATAATTATTATTCTCAATTTTGTTGGGAGTTGAAATCCACACACATCTTAAAACTGACAAAGCTGAATAATACTGATCTACAGAGAAGAGTATGAAAATAAATATTTTAAAAAATGAATTGCCTAGGATTTCCTCTTTTTTTAAAAAAAAGTGAATTCTAAAATTATATGTTTAAGCATCATGTAGGGAAACACGTAAGGCCTAGCCATATTGCCAAATGGAACCACCACCTCCTTGGAGTGAATCTGAGAGTGGATGCCTTGTGGTCTAAGCAACAGGCCACAACCTCAGTAAACCTAACTTTTAGATGTCCTGCCCAGGCAAACAATATTGTATTCTCCCTCTCCCTTTCCTGCAGGGGATGTACAAATACCTTGAGCAATGTTTTTCCGACTTCAAGCAACGTGGCTTTGTGGTGGGGTATGACACCCGTGGCCAGGTGACCAGCATGTGCAGCAGCTTCAGGTATGGACTTGGTCCAGGTTTAAAAGTCTAAATGTCAAGAATGCCCCTTTTTCTCTTGTACAGGCTAGTAGGATAAGGATAGGATAACCCTTAATGTCATTTTTTTTACTGTGGGCACAACAGCACACATCAAAAATGAAATTGAGTTGCCCGCTCTCAGAGTGAAACACATACATGACGCACACCTAAACATACTATGCATAGACCCACATCCCTACATATACGTAGCAAATCAATATTAAATACTGTCCATCTTGAATAGATAACGGAAGGAGGAAGCTTGAGAGTTCACAAGGTTAATGCTGTATGGAACGAAACTATGGCTGAATCTGGATGTTCTGCTACGGATAAACATATTTTGAAGGGGAGAGCAAATCTGGGTGGGGAGGAAAACCCCTTTTTTTCTGCAAATGAACAGCAGTAATAACAGTTAATTAGCGCTGACTGGATTTAGATCTTCATTCTCTCTCAAGGGGTCAGAGAAATTTGGATACTTTGGGGTGCAATGGAATAGAAGGTGTAGATCTAGACCTAAATCCTTTTTTTTTTTTTTTTTGCAGACAAGCATTTAAGCAGAATTGAATTATAAATATTAGCCTTTCGCCACGGGTAGAGTTATATCATACGTTCTCCGGCAGACTTTGCTGCGGCTCCTGTTGAATGAATCTGGAATCCAACAGATGTACAGGGCCCTAAAAATGCTTTTTAAATCATTTTGTAATACGGAAAGCATTTTGATTCGGGCACGAAGCTGACTCAAGAGAGAAATTTGGACGACGGGCCTTGTGTTTCTGTGCTTGCTATATCCATCAGCACTTTAGGGTTCCAGCACAAACGTGTTGCCTTAGTCGGCACTGTGTAGTAATTTGTGCTGTTGAGAAAGATGGCACATTTTTAAATGCCTTCGACTTGTTTGTTTTTTTTAACTCCTAGAGAGTGCCTAGATTAGGCAAGATTCCAGGATTGGTTCTAGGATTGAGAAAGAGGGACTGGCCCAGGGTCACCTAGATGGCTTCATGCCTAAAGTAGGACTAGAACTCATGGTCTCCTGATGACTGAAGTCACCCAGCCGTCTTTCATGCCTAAGGCGGGACTAGAACTCACCGTCTCCGGGTGATTGGCCCAAAGTCACTAGTTGGCTTTCATATCTTAAGGCGGGACTAGAACTCACCGTCTCCGGGTGATTGGTCCAGAGTCACCCAGTTGGCTTTCATGCCTAAGGCGGGACTAGAACTCATTGTCTCCAGGTGATTGGTCCAGAGTCACCCAGTTGGCTTTCATGTCTAAGGCGGGACTAGAACTCACCGTCTCCGGGTGATTGGTCCAGAGTCACCCAGTTGGCTTTCATGCCTAAGGCGGGACTAGAACTCACCGTCTCCGGGTGATTGGTCCAGAGTCACCCAGTTGGCTTTCATGCCTAAGGCGGGACTAGAACTCACCGTCTCCGGGTGATTGGTCCAGAGTCACCCAGTTGGCTTTCATGCCTAAGGCGGGACTAGAACTCACCGTCTCCGGGTGATTGGTCCAAAGTCACTAGTTGGCTTTCATGCCTAAGGCGGGACTAGAACTCACCGTCTCCGGGTGATTGGTCCAGAGTCACCCAGTTGGCTTTCATGCCTAAGGCGGGACTAGAACTCATTGTCTCCAGGTGATTGGTCCAGAGTCACCCAGTTGGCTTTCATGTCTAAGGCGGGACTAGAACTCACTATTTCCTGGTGATTGGCCCAAAGTCATCTAGCCGGCTTTCATGCCTAAGGCAGGACTAGAACTCACCATCTCCTGGTGATTGGCCCAAAGTCACCCAGTTGGCTTTCATGCCTAAGGCGGGACTAGAACTCACCGTCTCCTGGTGATTGGCCCAAAGTCACCCAGTTGGCTTTCATGCCTAAGGTTGGACTAGAACTCACCACCTCCTGGTGATTGGCCCAAAGTCATCCAGTTGGCTTTCATGCCTAAGGCTGGACTAGAACTCACCGTCTCCTGCTGATTGGCCCAAAGTCACCTAACCGGCTTCCATGCCTAAGGCAGGACTAGAACTCGTGATCTCTCGGTTTCTAAACTGATGCCTCAATTGCAACACCAAACTGCTTCTCGTGACAAAATTAGGAAAACACATTGCAGCGTGAGAGAAATCGCTGGGCTGTTTTGCAGCTTCCCTGGATAGCACATTGTCACGCTTGGCCCTGGCTGAGTTTGTCTTTATATGAGAAGCTTATTTATTTCCTGTATTTTCATGTCTTGTTTTCCACAGGCTTGCCAGGCTCACTGCAGCCGTCCTGCTGGCAAAAGGGGTTCCTGTTTACTTGTTCTCAAGATACGTCCCCACGCCTTTTGTGGTGAGTGGCTATTTCTTTTTAAAATGCTGCCTGAGCTTCATAAGAGTGGATTAGTAGTACTTCTACTAATCTGAATCTGGTGCCACTCCGGTTTGAATCAAGCTGGCCGTCTCAGCCACCATATCTAGAAATGAAACCGAGTTAGTACCGGGTTAGTGCCTGGGGCAACTGAAGATTCCCCTTCATCTACAAGCAGTAAATCTCTTCATCCATCCTTAAAATCCCAGTGATGGTCCTCTACTAGCAACCGTAGCTGAGCCCAGAATGCTGGTTGCGTGTGATGTCTGTCGTTAAGTGGGTCCCCGTGTGACCACACCCAATTTTACAACCTTTTTGCAGCCGTCATTCAGCGTTCTTAAACGAACCTTACGATTCTGTTAAAGGCACGCCACGCTCGTTAAGCAAGCTCGTTTGTTTCCTACAAAAGACATTGTAAATCACCATCGGGTGACCGCGGGGTGTTGCAAACCTGTTGTAAACATGGGCTGGCTGCCACACACCCAAAACTCAATGGCAGCTGTCAGATTTTTTGAAACCGGGTCGTAAGTAGTTCCCAGGAGGTCAGTCGTAACTTGCAACGGTTGCTAAGCAACCGGTCGTAAGTCAAGGACTGCCTTGAGCAATAGCTTGGTGTGGAAAAAATGGATATATCTGGCTATTTGCCACTTCCTCCTTCTTCTTCACTCTGTGTTTTGCGATGGATTACTGTTTTATTTGAATCACGTGATTTCCCAAACTGAATTTTGCAATTCAACGGCTAAACTATAATTCCGAGAGTTGTAAATCAATAAAAAGTTTTATATATTTTACGCGGGAGAAAACTCGAACAACCAAAGAATTATATATATGTTTTCTGAGGTTTTCGCAGGTGTTTGTATGTAGGTCTTTGGTTATTCAGGTTTTCTCCCGCATCAAATTGGAAGTGTCTTGGCGATGTTTTGACGAAGTCTCTTCGTCATCTTCAGGCTGGTGTTTTCGGCTTCGTGCTTCTAGGAGCAATGTGAACAACACCAGCCTGAAGATGACGAATGAGACTTCGTCGAAATGTCGCCAAGACACTTCCAATTTGACGCGGGAGAAAACCCAAATAACCAAAGACCTACCTACCTACCTACTTACATACATACATACATATATATATAACTTTTTATTGATTTTCTAATGTTACAATTCTATCTTTGGAAAACAACGTGGCAGCTGAATAACAATAATTCAGTTACATACAGATATTATTAATACAAATCTCGAACTATTACAGCCAATATTTCCTCTCTTTTTCCCCTTAATATGTACTGTCTTTTATCTGAGTTGATATACTTTTTATTCTATCAATCGGATAAAAGATAACTTTCTTACATTTATCAGTAGTTTTTAGTTTATATATGTCTTAATTGTTTTACTATTCTATCTTTTAAGAGAGAGAGATAACCTTTATTGTCATTTTTTTTTTTACTGTGGGCACAACGGCACACACCGAAAATGAAATTTGGTTGCCCGCTTTCAAAGTGAAACACATACATGACGCACACCTAAATATACTATGAACAACATATATATAGACCCACATCCCTACATATACGTAGCAAATAAATATTAAATATTGTCCATCTTGAATATATAATGGAAGGAGGAAGCTTGAGAGTTCGCAAGGTTAATGCTGTATGGAACGAAACTCTGGCTGAATCTGGATGTTCTGCTTCGGATAGCACGAAGCCCCCTCCTCCCAGAAAGTAACAAGGAAAACAGGTCGTGAAGAGGATGTGTCGTGTCCCAGATAATCTTACAGACCCTGCTCAAGCAGCGCTTCTGTGCTATGTCCTGGATGGGAGGGAGGGAACTGCCAATCATCTTTTCGGCCGTCCTCACCACTCTCTGCACCGCCTTCCTGTCTGAAGCAGTGATGCTTCCAAACCAGACTGTGATGCTGTATGTCAGGATGCTCTCGATCGTCAACAATCTAATACATTTTTCCCAGTTTTAATTTTCCATTAATATTTAAGTTTCAGGTTTCATATTTATCATTTCCAAGTGTTAAATAACCCAATTCCCTTGGTCACAGTTCCCCACAACATCTGGTGTTCAGGATACATATCTATTTTAATTCTCACCATCTACATCAACAAATCAATCATACAGTATAATAGTCTTTTTTTCTTACACTCTCCAAATGTCCTAAATTCAGGAACCAAAGCTTCTTCTGTTGCAACATTTCGTACTTTCTTGTAGTTAAGCTAATAGTTTCCATTCTTACCGCTACATCAAAACATATTTATTTACGTTCATCAATAAGTTTTTAGCATCTATATCAAGGGTAGTCAACCTTGGCTCTTTCATGACTCGTGGACTTCGACTCCCAGAATTCCTGAGCCAGCCATGCTGAGGGGAAAGGGAGAGGTTTCCAAGCTGAGCCATGCTGCCTCAGGAATTCTGGGAGTTGAAGTCCACGAGTCATGAAGGGGCCATAGTTCCCTCATGCTGGCTAAGGAATTCTGGGAATTGAAGTTAACGAATAATGAAGGGGCCAAAGTATCCCCCATGCAGGCTTAGGAATTCTGGGAGATGAAGGGGCCACAGTTCCCCCATGCTGGCTCAGGAATTCTGGGAGTTGAAGTCCACGAGTCATGAAGGGGCCAAAGTTCCCCCCTGCTGGCTCAAGAATTCTGGGAGTTAGTCCACGAGTCATAAAAGAGCCAAGGTTGACTACCCCTGATCTATATCAACCTGCAGTTTCTGCGGCCTGTTTTGGCTGTCAGCCCGCAGCTGTGATGAAACAAAAGAGCAATGCCAGAGACAATTTGAAAGGTGGCCTTTGACTGAACCACCGTTCGTTTAATGACAATTTGAAGTTTACAACCGCACTGGAAAAAATGGACTTATCACCGTTTTCACGGCCATTGCAGCATTCCACGGTTGCCCGACGGAACTTCAAACGCTTGGCAACTGGCTCAGAGTTACGATGGTTACCGGGTCCCGGGATCATGTGATCCCTGTCATGGTTCCGACTAATGAAACACTTCAAAGAACTTCCAGGCATTGATTTTCCTAACAGTCATTTATTGTTACAAAATGTCGGCACAGGCATAACGGAGGTTTATGCCAGAATCTGAATTCCTCTTGCTGGTATCTCACTTTTCTTGCAGTCACAAGTCACATCTTCCAATTAGCCCAGAGGGCAGAGATTCCCTTCCCTTCCTTTTCCCGGGCTTCTGTTATTTCCCCTCCCTTTTCTCTGTCATCTGAATTAACTCTAAAAATACCAGACAGTTCTGCATATTTTGTCAAAGCAAGAATATTCAATATTAGCAGTGTTGACATCCCCATTCTGTGACCTTCTGACCAGCAAAGTCAATGTGGAAGCCAGATTTACTTAACGACCTTGTGACTAACTTAAGAAGTGCAGCGATTCGCTGAACAACTGTGGCAAGAAATGGGGCCAAACGCACTTCACAGCTTTTGTAAAAAGGGGGCCAAACTCACTTCACCGCTGTCCTTGCTTAGCAACAGATCTTGGCATGATGTCATGGTTCCGACTAATGAAACACTTCAAAGAACTTCCAGGCATTGTTTATCCTAAAAAGTCTTTAATGGTGAAACAAAGTGTGGGCACAGCATGGTGGAGGCCAAGATCTGAATTCTCCTCCCCTGAGCACATACTATTCAACATAATTCCCTCCACTAATTTGCATCATAAATCAACGTTCTCCAATCAGTTTGAAGGGCAAAGTTACCCTTCCCAGTTCTGTAGCCGGGTGGTTTCTTTTTTTTTTTTTTATTTAAAAGTTTTATAAATTTATTACAATATAACCCCCACCCCCACCCCTTCCCCCTCCCCCACTTCCCAGAGCTGATTACAGGATAAAAAATAAAATAAACAAACATAATCTAACTAACATAAACCAACTATACTATCAAACAAAACCATAACACACTTTAACTCCTTCTCCAAACAAATATTAACAAATTAAATCAAAGATAATAAGACAATTATAACTATTAATAACTATCTAAAATCTACTCAAAAGCAGGATAATACTTTTCAATCTCATATTTCTTCTGAATATAATCAATCCATCTTCTCCAAACCATAATATATTTTTCTTGTGATTGATCCTTCAAATAGGCGGAGATTTTCGCCATTTCTGCTAAATTAGAAACTTTAAGTATCCATTCTTCCAAAGTAGGCAATGAATTTGTCTTCCAGTATTGCCCCACCAATAATCTTGCAGCTGTTACAAGGTTCAACATCAACTTAGCTTCTCTAACATCAAAAAGCCGCCATCGGCGCGGCAAACGCCCCCGGAAGCTCGGGTGGTTTCTTATCTTAACTCATCCCCACATACATTCTTTCTCCTCCCCTCCCAGCATCCTCTAATTTAAAAGTACCACACAACTTATGCAGAGAGTGGCTGCCTCTTCCTATTTTGTCAAAGCAAGAGCACCCAATGTTAGCAGCGTTGACATCGAGCTCAATTGTGGTTGTAAGTCAGGGGCTACTTGTATTGACAATTGATTACAGGTATTTTTCTCTGCGGTCAGATCCATGTCTGCCCGTTGAAAATCTGCATCATTTAAACTTTGCCTGCCTGAGAAGGATACAATTAAGAGAGTGGCTTTCCGAAACAGAACGGTTGGTTAGACATTCATGGAACATTTTTAGACCTTCTTTAGGGCAATGTGGGTTTTTGTGCACCTGGACACACCGTTTCAAAATAACAGCGGGGCTCAGTTACCTCTTTATGTACCTGCCATTTAAAAAGACTTTGTGAGGCATTGTTTACCTTAAAGAATCTTTATTTTGAGTAGCCCAGCATCGGCACTAACATAGTCGGAAGCCAAAATAGTATCAAAACACAATTCCCTCCTCCAATTAACAGTCATAAATCACATTCCCCAATTAGCTTGAAATGCAGGCTTCCCCTCCTGTTCTCCAACCCGCCATTCCTTATCACCTCTTATTTAAAAAGCCCTGAATTCACACACTATCGCAATGTTGTTATGTCTAACTTAACTCCCATCACATCCCTCCTCCTCCCCCAGCATCATCTAACTCTTAAGAGTAAAGCATAAGAGAGAAAAAGGCTGCATCTCCATATGTTGTGAAAGCAAGAACATCCCATGTTAGCAGCGTTGACAGACTTATTTTATTTTTCTAATTTTTAAATAAAATGATTATTTTTTTTTTTAAAAAATGGCTTGCCTCTGAAGCCTTGTAGAAGCAGTACAAGTGCTTGGGAATACCTGGTGTTCCTTCCAGGGATTCGGTCCTGGGTGATTCTGTCACCCACAAGTGATTTTGGACAGCTGATGGACGCCATCCAGGACCTCTGAGGGAGGTGGCAATTTAGCCACATTCAGTATAAAGAAATAAATACACATTTTGCTTTGCAGCCGTATGCGGTCCAGCAGCTCAGGGCCGTCGCAGGGGTGATGATTACCGCTTCCCACAACCGGAAAGAAGACAACGGCTACAAGGTAGGTTCAGCCAATTTGGTAGCTGCCTAATTTGACTAATTGGTTTGCAACTTTTTCCTCTCTCTCTCTCTCTCTCTCTCTCTCTCTCTCTCTCTCTCTCTCTCTCTCTCTCTCTCTCTCTCTCTCTCCCCCTCTCTGTCTCTCTGTCTCTCTGTCTCTCTCTCTCTTGGTCAGGATAGTGAACCTTTTGGGCTCAATGTGTCAAAGGTTTGCAAAATCAGGGGTCCTTGGTGCTCTCGGAGCTTGGTTGTTTTCTGGCAGACGTTTTGTTGCCGAATTAGGTAACATCATCAGTGCTGGAAGGGGGTGGGGTTTGCTCTCTCAACAGCCTAAGCAAGGAATCACCAACACTGAGAGGGCTAGCCACTTGTATATAAACAAAAGGCAAACCCCACTCTCTTCTAGCACTGAGGATGGTACCTAGATTGGTAATGAAACGTCTGTAAGAAAACAACCAAACTCAGAGGGCACTGAGGACCCCAGTCCTTTTCCTCTCCTCCTCCTCCTCCTCCTCCTCCTCCTCCTCCTCCTCCTCCTCCTCCTCCTCCTCCTCCTCCTCCTCCTCCTCCTCCTCCCTTCTAGCATTGATGATGTTCCCTAGTTGGGTAATGAAATGTCTGCAAGAAACAGCCAAGCACAGAGAGCACCAAGGACCCCACAGTCCTTCCTTCCTTCCTTCCTTCCTTCCTTCCTTCCTTCCTTCCTTCCTTCCTTCCTTCCTTCCTTCCTTCCTTCCTCCTCCTCCTCCTCCTCCTCCTCCTCCTCCTCCTCCTCCTCCTCTACTCCCTTCTAATACTGATGATGTTCCCTAGGTAGGCAATGAAACATCTGCAAGAAAACCACCAAGCTCAGAGAGCACCAAGGACCCCACAGTCGTCGCCGTCCTCCTCCTCCTCCTCCTCCTCTCCCACAAACCCTACTCCCTTCTAGTAGTGATGATGTTCCCTAGTTAGGTATTGAAATGTCTGCAACAAAACAACCAAACTCAAAGAGCACCAAGGACCCCAGAATCCCCCTTCCCCTCCTCTTCTTCCCCCTCCTCCCTCTCCTCCTCCTCCTTCCAAGAAAACCACCAAGCTTGGAGAACATCAAGGATCCCATACCACCTCCTCCTCCTCCTCCTCCTCCTCCTCCTCCTCCTCCTCCTCTTTACAAACACCCCTCCCTCCTATCACTGATAATGTCCCCTAGTTGGGTCACGAAACATCTGCAAGAAAACCACCAAGCTTGGAAAGAGTCAAGAATCCCACAGTCGTCATCGTCCTCCTCCTCCTCCAACCCCATCCCCTTCTAGCACTGAAGATGTTACCTTGTTTGGTAATGAAACATCTGCAAGAAAACCACCCATCTCAGAGAGAACCAAGGACCTCTCATTTCCACTCTGAGCTACAAATATTCCCCTTTATTAGTTTGGAACACGTCTAACTTGACTCTGCTGGCCCATTACACCCTCCCCAATGAAAGAAGAAACAATTCTCTCTCTTTTTCCTCCTCCTGCCACCACGAAGGCGGCACTTGGCAACTACGCCGAGGCCGGGCTCGAAACGTAGGCCTGGGCCTTGACTTCAGCCCTCGCGCCACTACTGCCCCTCAAAAAAGCTGCCTTCTGCCGTTTCCCAGGGTGCAGTGGCCTCTGTGGGCCCAGCCCTCCCTAGGCTTTGCCACAGGCTGCTGGCCATTAGGTGGTGTTCTCGGTTGATAACGCTCCTGCAGCCCACCTGAGACTGCTCCGGGTCGCACGTGGCCTTCATTTTCAAAGCAGCTTTGGAGGATGCTCTTCCGGGGCCTCCACAGCCTCTGCACATTGCGCACAAGCGCACCCCGTTCTCGCACAATTTCTGGAGGCTCCGTTGAGCACGCGAGTGCACGGTCCGTTCATGGGATCTCCGGAGGATCCCGAGGTTGTGCGGTAGAGCAGGGCTTTTCAACCTTTTCGCCCATTGTGCCACTTTTAGGATATGGCAACATCCGAGTACCACCCGTCGCCTAGCAAGGTGTCAAAACCTGGATGACCAAAAAATAAAAATAAAAAATGAAAAAAGTGATGAAGTACAGGTAGTCCTCGACTTACAACAGTTCGCTTAGTGACTGTTCGAAGTTACAGTGGCACTGAAAAAAGTGCCCCCCCCCAGCCACAGCCGAGCAAGACACCTGCCTGCCCACCCGGTGGCGCTCTTCCTCCTGTCCGAGGTTTTCATTGTTGTGAGCATTTCTGTTGAGGATTGTCAGCTGGGGTGGGGTGGGGGGTGTTTGGTTTTTATTCCCCCCCCCTCTGCTGGGTGGTTGCAGCAGGTTTTGGTCACTTCCCATGACCCTGGGACACTGTGACTGTCATAAATATGAATCGGTTGCCAAGCCTCTGAATGTAAATCACAAGACCCTGGAGAGGCTGCAACATTCCAGCTGATCGGCGCTTCTTCGGGGCTCAGCAGAAGTGCCAGGATCAGCGCCAAGCTCCAGCTGATTGGTGCTTCTTCTGGGCTCAGCAGAAGCACCAGGATCAGCGCCGAGCTCCAGCTGGATCCTGGTGCTGATCCTGGTGTTTCCACTGAGCCCTGACAGCCCCGAAGAAGCTCCGATCAGCTGGAAAGTGGCACTGATCCTGGCGCTTCCGCTGAGCCCTGACAGCCTTGCAGCTCCAGCCGTCTCTCACTCAGGCTTGTGCGGTGCTGCCCCCGGTTCAGCTCATTCCCCTCCCCTTCTACCCCTTTTCTAGGATGGTCACGTACCACCTGCCAGGGGCCAATGTACCACAGGTGGTAGCCGTACCACTGGTTGAAAAACCCTGCGGTACAACACGCCCCATTCTTGCACGGCTTCCACAGCCTCCCAAAATTATACCAGGACAGGGCTTGTTTTCTAGAATAGCTGTCTTTCGACGTCGTAAGTCGTACGTAGAGGACTACCCGTGTACCTCTGAACCCACGGCTTGACTGTGGAACGAATTCTTCCCTTTCCCAAACTCTTTTAACGCAGGTCTACTGGGAAAACGGCGCCCAGATCACCTCCCCGCACGACAAGGAGATCCTAAAGTGCATCGAAGAGTGCGTCGAGCCGTGGAACGACTCCTGGAACGAAAACCTGGTGGACTGCAGCCCCCTGACTCGAGATCCCCTGCAGAAAATCTGTGCAAGCTACATGGAGGATCTGAAAAAGATCTGCTACCACCGGTAAGCCAGGCGATCCTGTCGGTGGGTGCTCCTGTCAACCCAATTCCCACATTTTGAACAGGAGAAACACAGTCTCCAGAGAAGAAAGCTGCATTTACCTGCAGTGGTGGATACCAAGATTAGGTAATATTTAAAGTCACTGTATGATTTGATGACACTTCCCACCACGAGATAACTGATGTGTCAATGCCGCTAATAATAGTAGTAGTAGTAGTAGTAGTAGTAGTAATAATAATAATAATAATAATAATAGAAATAGAAATAGAAAGACTGTGGCAAAAGCAAGCAAGGGTAGTACCAATAGTCATAGGCTCCTTGGGTGCAATCCCAAAACAACTGGAGCACCACTTGAACACCATTGGCATTGACAAATTCGCTATTAGTCAATTGCAAAAGGCAGCCTTACTAGGAACTGCTTCCATCCTGCGACGATATCTGTAATACCATCAAACATCCACATCTGCCTATCCAGGTCCTGGGTAAGGACTTTGATAGGTAGACAAAATGCCAAATCCAGTCTGAACATCTGGCTGACTGTGCAATGATCCATAATAATAATAATAATAATGATGATGATGATAAAGTTGGAAGGGACCTTGGAGGTCATCTAGCCAACCCCCTGCTCAGGCAGGAAACCCTATACCATTTCGGACAGATTGCTGTCCAGTCTCTTCTTAAAGACTTCCAGTGTTGGAGATATTCACTGCTTCTGGAGGCAGGTGGTTCCACTGGTTAATGGTTCTCACTGTCAGGAAGTTTCTCCTTAGACTGCTATCCTGTCCCCCCTCGTCCTTCTGTTCGTTAAACTAGACCTACCCAATTCCAGCAACCGTTCCTGATATGTTTTAGCCTCCAGTCCCCTGATCATCTTTGTTGCTCTTCTCTGCACTCTTTCTAGAGTCTCAACATCTTTTTTACATCGTGGTGATCAAAACTGGATGCTAACATTGGATGTTCTTGCTTTGACAACATATGAAGATGCAGCCATTTTCCTCCTTATGTTTTACTCTTAGCGTTAGAGTTAGATTTAGATCAGTGTTTCTCAACCTTGACCATTTTAAAGCATGTGGACTTCAACTCCCAGAATTCCACAGCCAGCAATGCCTTAAAATGGTCAAGGTTGAGAAACACTGATTTAGATGATGCCGGGGGAGGGAGGAACAGTGCATGAGAGTTTAGCTAGACATAACAATGCTGAGCCTAGTGTGAGAACCAAGGTTATTGAAATAAGAGATGATAAGAAATGGCAGTTGAACTGGAGGGGAAAGCCTGCATTTCAAACTAATTGGAGAACGGGATTTATGACCGTTAATTGGAGGAAGGAATTGTGCTTTGATACTATGTGCTCCTCGGCTGCCAAGTTTCATGCAAATTCTCTCCTCTGGACAGCACCAGCTGCCCTTTCAGGCTTTCTTTCTGCCTTTTTTCCATGACAGAGAGACGAACGCAAAGACCCCCTTGAAATTTGTGCACAGCTCTTTCCACGGGGTGGGACACGACTACGTGCAGCTGGCTTTCCAGGCCTTTGGCTTCCAGCCCCCCATCCCAGTCCCCGAACAAAAAGATCCGGATCCAGACTTTTCCACAGTCAAATGTCCCAACCCCGAAGAAGGAGAATCGGTGTTGGTAGGTTTTTGCCTTCGCGGCACTTCTGTGAGCTACAGGAAGTGTGTGTGTGTGTGGGGGGGGTTGTCTTCTCCAAGTAGATCAGCTGGGAACAACGCTCCGATCGGCTCTTTTGCGTGGATATCCTTCCAGGAACTGTCTTTGCGGCTGGCGGAGAAAGAGGAAGCACGAGTGATCGTGGCTACGGATCCTGATGCAGACAGGCTAGCGGTGGCCGAACGACAGGAAAAGTGAGTGGCTGGAGGTGCCTGTGTTTTTTGGGAGGGGGGTAATAGATTTTATTAGTTTTTATAGGGTTGGGGATAAGGTGGGGTCAGGATTAGGGTTGGGATATGGGTTAGGTCAGGGGTAGGCAACCTTGGCTCTTTTATGACTTGTGGACTTCAACTCCCAGAATTCCTGTGCCAGCATGGGGGAACTATGGCCCCTTCATGACTCCTGGACTTCAACTCCCAGAATTCCTGAGCCAACATGGGGGAAACTTTGGCCCCTTCATGACTCATGGACTTCAACTGCCAGAATTCCTGAGCCAGCATGGGGGAAACTTTGGCCCCTTCATGACTAGTGGACTTCAACTCCCAGAATTCCTGGGCCAGCATGGGGGAACTATGGCCCCTTCATGACTTATGGACTTCAACTCCCAGAATTCCTCAGCCAGCATGGGGGAAACTTTGACCCCTTCATGACTCGTGGACCAACTCCCAGAATTCCTGAGCCAACATGGGGGGAACTATGGCCCCTTCATGACTCACGGACTTCAACTCCCAGAATTCCTGAGCCAGCGTGGCTCAGCTTGGAAACCTCTCCCTTTCCCCTCAGCATGGCTGGCTCAGGAATTCTGGGAATTGAAGTCCACGAGTCATAAAAGAGCCAAGATTGCCTACCCGTGGTGTATGGTTGGGGTTGGGATTAGGGTTAGGGTTCGGGTTTTTCCAAATAACATTTTCAATATTTAGCAAACAGCATAATGTCTGGGTACGTGTATTTAACTAACAATAATAGATATAGTTAATTATCATAAACAATATATCAATGAATCACTCAATAGCCTTCTTTTTGCTAATATATATTCCAAGTGACATATCACGTTCCTTTCTCTCTGACTCGTTTTTCTAGCCATTGATAGAAATTATCCCATGTTCTAAAGTACACTGAGTCTTCTTTCTCTTTAATCTTTAAAGTCAATCTGTCCATTTCTGCACACTCTAGGATTTTCTTCATTAGTACTTCTTCCGTTGGTAAGTTTTCATTTTTCCAATGTTGGGCAAATACCATTCCTGCTGCCGTGAATACGTGTAGTATTAGAAACCTGCAATCTTTCTCATAATTCGCTCCTATTATTCCTAACCAAAAAATAACTCTGGTTGAAAGCCTATTGGGTTTTTTTAGTCATTTTCTCCGACCATAAATGTGTTTTAACTCAAAATCTTTTGAGGTGCCTGCGGTTTGACCTGTAACCTGATGAAACTTCTAATGTTGTCTCTTTTCTTCCTCAGTGGGCGATGGAAAGTCTTCACCGGAAACGAGCTGGCCGCTTTGTTTGGCTGGTGGATGTTTACTTGTTGGAAGGAAAATTCTCCCGAGGAAGCCGACGTGAGGGACGTTTACATGCTGGCCACCACCGTCTCCTCCAAAATCCTGCAGGCCATCGCTCTGAAGGAAGGGTTTCATTTTGAAGTGAGTGGGGTCCGGGGTCTCCTCTTGGGCGTCATGCTCCAAGTCTTAACCTTTTTGAACGAATCGCCCCCTTGAGCCAATGAGGAAGTTGTTGTCATCGCCCCACCTCCCCCAACATAACCTCTCAGTCACAACATAGGAAACAATTCTTCCATTTATGCAAACACTTTTTTTTTGTTTTCTTTAAAATTGTCATCAGGACGTATCGATGCAAATAATTTATTTCCAGTCTTTTCCCCATATCTCCCATATTTTGGCCAGTGGCGCGCCACTGTATGGGTAGAGGCTGCTGCGCAACGCGCATGAAGGTAAGCGATGCGTCTTCACATATGTACTGAAGCTAGCTGGAGGAACATTGGAAAACACAATTCAATCCACTAAGAGCGAGCGATCTGATGTTTTTGTACGACAGATAGGCAGCGATTCACTGTACGAAAAAGTCTCAAAACTGTCCCCCAAAACCTCCCACTCCATCGCCCCCATATCGCCCCCTTTTTGTTCCATCCCCCCTCCGAAAAACGATATCGCCCAGGTTAAGAAACACTGCTCCAAGTGGCCTTGGGGCCTCCAAGAGGGAAGCCTCAAGATGTTTTGAGGAGGGTCACTCAATCCTGATCATTGGTCACCCTTAGTACTGCCATGACAGTCAGGTTTGTAGCATCGGAACGCTGTTGGGTTGGAAGAAGAGCAAAAAAGATGATTAGGGGACTGGAGGCTAAAACATGAGGAACGGTTGCTGGAATTGGGTATGTCTAGTTTAATGAAGAGAAGGATGAGGGGGGACATGAGAGCAGTCTTCCAGTATCTTAGGGACTGCCCCAAAGAAGAGGGAGTCAAGCTATTCTCCAAAGCCCCTGAAGGCAGGACAAGAAGCAACGGATGGAAACTGATCAAGGAGAGAAGCAACTTAGAACTAAGGAGAAACTTCCTTACAGTTAGAACAATTAGCCAGTGGAACCACCTGCCTCCAGAAGCAGTGAATGCTCCAGCACTGGAAGTTTTATAGAAGAGACTGGACAGACATTTTTCTGAAATGGTGTAGGGTTCCTGCCTGAGCAGGGGGTTGGACTCGATGACCTCCAAGGTCCCTTCCAACTTTATTATTATTATTATTATTATGGATCATCGCACAGTCAGCCAGATATTCAGACTGGATTTGGCATTTTGTCTACCTATTGAGTCCTTACCCAGGACCTGGGATAGGCAGATGTGGATGTTTGATGGTATTACAGATATCGCCGCAGGATGGAAGCAGTTCCTAATAAGGCCGCCTTTTGCAATTGACTAATAGCGAATTTGTCAATGCCAATGTGTTCAAGTGGTGCTCCAGTTGTTTTGGGATTGCACCCAAGGAGCCTATTACTATTGGTACTACCTTTGCTTGCTTTTGCCACAGTCTTTCTATTTCTATTTGTAGGTCTTTGTATTTTGTTATCTTCTCCAGTTCTTTCTCGTCTATTCTGCTGTCTCCAGGCACTGAGACAGCAGAATAGACAAGAAAGAACTGGAGAAGATATTATTATTATTATTATTATTATTATTATTATTATTATTATTATTAAAGGCTTGAACAGCGACATCACCGTTGCCTGGAGCAGCCTAATTGGGGGCTCCTTTCACGTCCCCATTAAGTTGCCCATCAAAGCGTTATGAGCCTGCCTGCTCACGGTCACTGTCTCTCTTAGCAATGGAAATTTTGGTCATAAGTCAAGGACCACCTGTATTTGTTAGGAGGCCTGGCTGGACTCAATGGGATTTAAGTCAAGACATCCAGAGGTTTAAGGTTGCATCTGCTGTGCAAGGCCTGGTGGACCGAATCCCTCGCAGCTGCGGGTGGGCTACCCCTGTGCGATCTTCTGAAAGAAGCCTCCCCCTGTCTCGTTTCAGGAGACCCTCCCCGGCTTCAAATGGATCGGCAGCAGGGTTAAGGATCTGGTGGACAGCGGCAAAGAAGTCCTTTTCGCCTTCGAGGAATCCATCGGTAAGCATTGGCCTGTCGCGGCGGCGGCCTCATCGTATTCCAGAGCAAATACTTAACGAGATTTCTCCCGGTGTTTTGAATCTCAAACTAGAAACCTTTTGGAAGGAGCTGTTAGCAGCGTTTCCTTCTTCACTGAAGTTGGTGTAATTTTAATATCCCGCATTTTTTCCCGGTTTGGTCATTGTGTGCTTTGAGGAAAGTCTGGCAGTAGACAGTCCCCTCTTGAGAAATTTGTCTGGCTGTGGAATTCTGGGAGTTGAAGTCCACATGCCTTAAAATTGTCAAGGTTGAGAAACACTGGATTATCGGGTGGGGTGGGTAGTTATTTCATTCATTCATTCATTCATTCATTCATTCATTCATTCATTCATTCATTCATTCACATTTGATTTCTACATTGCCTGTCTCATCTAAATGTCTCTGGGATGTTGGTTTACAGCAACATAAAAAAAAAAAACCTATATAAATAGGTGAATAAAAGCGTAGCTTAAAAAAGAGAGTTAAATACAAGTTAAAACTTACAAGTACAAGTCAGACTCTAGAAAGAGTACAGAGAAGAGCAACAAAGATGATTAGGGGACTGGAGGCTAAAACATATAAGGAACGGTTGCTAGAATTGGGTATTTCTAGTTTAATGAAGAGAAGGACGAGGGGGGACAGGATAGCAGTCTTCCAGTATCTCAGGGGCTGCCCCAAAGAAGAGGGAGTCAAGCCATTCTCCAAAGCGTCTGAAGGCAGGACAAGAAGCAACGGATGGAAACTCATCAAGGAGAGAAGCAACCTAGAACTAAGGAGAAACTTCCTGACAGTGAGAACAATTAATTAATGGAAGGACTTGATGGAAGAGAATCAAGATCACGTGAAGTGTTAATACCACTTTAAAAGGCCTTGGTAAGGCCACACTTGGAATACTGCATCCAATTTTGGTCACCATGATGTAAAAAAGATGTTGGGACTCTAGAAAGAGTGCAGAGAAGAGCAACAAAGATGATCAGGGGACTGGAGGCTAAAACATATAAGGAACAGTTGCTGGAATTGGGTATTTCTAGTTTAATGAAGAGAAGGACGAGGGGGGACATGATAGCAGTCTTCCAATATCTCAGGGGTTGCCCCAAAGAAGAGGCAGTCAAGCTATTCTCCAAAGCGCCTGAAGGCAGGATAAGAAGCAACGGATGGAAACTCATCAAGGAGAGAAGCAACCTAGAACTAAGGAGAAACTTCCTGACAGTCCAGATTATTTCTAAAGCCCTGCACAGTTCTACTCACTAAGCAGACAGCAATTTTTAAGTTGGGATGTGCACAATTTTGTGGTGGCTGTCAGCACTGAGCATAATGTTACACCGCATGTATAATTTCCCAAGTCGCCAGGAGTCAGTTACGCATGAGTTGGGCCGATGTATAAATTTGTTCAATCATCAGCAAATAAACAAATAACGTTCTCCTGAACGCTCAGTGACTCCTTCGGATATCTTTCGATTAACATTATTCCACCTTGACAGAATCCTCGGAAAAGTCTTGTCTCTTTTCACCTTGTCCCTGGTTTGGGATGACATCTCAGCCAGAAAGTGTGAAAAGGCAGGCTTCTCATTGATTTATTTACTTATTTATTCCATTTCTATCGCCTCCCGACTCTGGGCTTCTTAGTAAAATCGGTAACAATAAAAGCTAGGGAAATGATCCCAGAATTTTGCCATGACGTGGTCGCCACGGACGTTTGGTAGGCGAGCTCCGTCTTCTGCGTTCGATTTCGCACCGCTGGGGGATCCTGGAAAGCGAGTTCCGGTTTGCCAAAAATGATCCCAGAATTTTGCTATTCCTTTTATTTATTCATTTATTTATTTATTTATGAGACTTATATACCGCTTTAAGTGCAAGCACTCTCTAAGCGGTGTACACCAGTAAGCAATGTATATATATATTTACATTGCCCCCCAACAATCTGGGTCCTCATTTTACCTACCTCGGAAGGATGGAAGGCTGAGTCAACCTTGAGCCGGTGAGATTTGAACCGCTGACCTGCTGAACACAGTCAGCTAAAGTGGCCTGCAGTACTGCACTCTTAACTGCTGCGCCACCTCAGCTCAGCTTTTTTTTTTTAGCCAGTGCTCGTTTACAGGGTTTGATTTTTCAAGCTTGAGCGCGGCTCTAATCGACAAACTGCTGTCCCTTGAACCGGATGTGTTTGGTTTTCAGGCTTCATGTGCGGCACTTCCGTGCTGGACAAAGATGGCGTCAGCGCGGCTGTGGTCATAGCAGAAATGGCTGCCTGGCTGGACACCAAGGGCCAAACGCTGGCCCGTCAGCTAACGGAGATCTATAAAACGTAAGTCCTTGGCTGTCCCGGATTCAAGACACGCAAATGGCAGCAGAGGGAACTTTTTTGGGTTGCATAAGCGGAACACATGTTCACATAGGCACGCTGCTGTTCTTTGGCAGCTGCCAAGAGATTCGGCCTAGGGAGATGGCCTACTCAGAAAAAAATGCAGAGTGGACCAGCTTGGAATAGATCCAAATGGATCCAAAGTCCCAAAGGTGTTCTCCCCCCCCCCAAAAAAAAAGGTAACTGGACTTCCTTGGATGCTTGGGGGGGAAAAATTGAAGGAAAAACCAAGAAAGTTCCAGTTGCCTTTAAAAAAAAAAAAAAAAAGCACCTTTGGGACAGTCATGACCCAGATGATTGAGACTCTCCATAGACAATAGATAGAATAACAGAATAACAGAGTTGGAAGGGACCTCAGAGGTCTTCTAGTCCAACCCCCTGCTCAGGTAGGAAGCCTTCTACCTTTTCAGACAAATGGCTGTCCAGTCTCTTCTTAAAAACCCTCCCGTGATGGAGCACCCACAACTCGTCAGGGAGAGATTCAGCCTGGAAATAAGGAGAAATTTCCTGGCAGTGAGAACAATCAACCAATGGAACAGAAATTGCTTTCAGATGTTGTGGGAGCTTCATCACTGGAGGCTTTCAAGATGGTCTAGGGTCTCCTGCTTGGGGAAGGGGCTGGACTAGATGGTCCCTTCCAACTATTCTATTCTATTCTATTCTATTCTATTCTATTCTATTCTATTCTATTCTATTCTATTCTATTCTATTCTATTCTATTCTATTCCTATATCTTCTACTCTACTCTACTCTATTTTCTGTTCTATTCTATCCTATCCTGTCCTATCCTATCCTATTCTATTCTATTCTATTCTATTTTCGTCACTATCCCCATATATTCTATTCTATTCTATTCTATTCTATTCTATTCTATTCTATTCTATTCTGTATTCTATTCTATTCCTATATCTTCTACTCTACTCTACTCTACTCCAGTCTACTCAACTCAACTCTCCTCTACCTATTCTATTCTGTTCTATTCTATTCTATTCTATTTTCGTCACTATCCCCATATATTCTATTCTATTCTATTCTATTCTATTCTATTCTATTCTATTCTATTCTATTCTATTCTATTCTATTCTATTCCTATATCTTCTACTCTACTCTACTCTACTCTACTCTATTCTATTCTATTCTATTCTATTCCTATATCTTCTACTCTACTCTACTCTACTCTATTTTCTGTTCTATTCTATCCTATCCTGTCCTATCCTATCCTATCCTATCCTATTCTATTCTATTCTATTCTATTCTATTTTCGTCACTATCCCCATATATTCTATTCTATTCTATTCTATTCTATTCTATTCTATTCTATTCTGTATTCTATTCTATTCCTATATCTTCTACTCTACTCTACACTACTCTACTCCAGTCTACTCAACTCAACTCTCCTCTACCTATTCTATTCTGTTCTATTCTATTCTATTCTATTTTCGTCACTATCCCCATATATTCTATTCTATTCTATTCTGTTCTATTCTATTCTATTCTATTCTATTCTATTCTCTCCCTTGATTAATTGTTCTCACTGTCACTTTTTTTTTTTTAAGCCGTTTCTGTTCTGTCTTCTCCTAGGTATGGCTACCACATTTCAAAAACCTCCTACTTCCTGTGTTATGATCCCCCTACAATCAAAAGGATATTTGAAAGGCTCCGAAACTTCGATATGCCTGATTCGTACCCAACCTCTTGTGGCACTTATAGTATTCTCCATGTCCGGGATGTCACCACCGGCTACGACAGCAGCCAGTTAAAGAAAAAATCGGTAAGTTGTGTTCTGCCTTAGGCATAAAAGCCAGCTGGGTGACTTTGGGCCAATCACCAGGAGATGGTGAATTCCAGTCCTGGAGTAGGAAAAATGCCAGCTGGTTGACTTTGGGCCAATCACCTGGAGACGGTGAGTTCTAGTCCTGCCTTAGGCACAAAAGCCAGCTGGGTGACTTTGGGCCAATCCCTGGGAAACTGGGAGTTCTAGTTCCACCTTAGGCACGAAAGCCAGCTGGGTCCAACCCTGGCTCCAACTCACCTCTGTCGATGTTGCTAACATCGGATGTTTTTGCTTTAAGAACAGTTGGAGATGCAACCATTTTCTTCTTATGTTTTACTCTTAGAGTTAGACTTAGAGTTAGATGATGGGGGGGGAGGAATGTGCACGAGAGTTCAGCTAGAGATAACAATGCTGAACCTAGTGTGAGAACCAAGGTTATTGAAATAAGAGATGATAAGAATTCGCTGGGCTGGAGAACTGGAGGGGAAGCCTGCATTTCAAGCTAATGGGGGGATGTGATTTATGATTGCTAATTGGAGGAGGGAATTGTGCTTGGATACTTTGTGCTCAGGGGAGGGGAATTCAGATTTTAGCTTCGACTATGTTAGTGCCGAGGCTATGCTTCTCAAAATAAAGCAAACAATGCCTCGAAGTTCTTTGAAGAGTTTCATCTGTCAGGAACCAGGACAACCTCGTTGACCGGTTGTTGTGGGGGAAATAAGAGGGGTGTGTGTGTTGGATATGTTCCCCACCTTGTAAAAGGTAACACAGGTGGGATAAAAATAAATAAATACGTTTCCCCCCACAGCCCCCGTCCCCCATTCTGTTTAGATTTTAGACCTCCGTGCAGGCCAAGAAGGGAATCGTTATTTTTTTATTATTATTATTATTTTAACAAGACAAAACAGAACAAAGCAAAACATAACAGACACACACACACAATATATACTCCTCCTTTTTTTTTACAGCAATTATGTAAAGGTAATCTAATATTTACATTTCCCCCTTATTCTTCTTTAGAATATTTGTCCTTATAGCCCCATTATTTTTTATTTACATTTTTCTTCCTTCATGTTCTACTTCTTACTAAGAATAATTCATATTATTATTATAATTATTATACACATATTTTCACTTTTGACCTTTCCATGTTGATTCTCCTCTATTATTTCTAGTCTCCAACCAGACATACACCTTGTTCCATACTATATAATACTCTCTGTCTTCCTTTTCTTTTATCTCTTTTGTTCATTAGTCCATCTCAGCACAGTCCAGGATTTTTCTTATTACTCCTTCCTCTGATGGTATATTCTCATTTTTCCAGCACTGTGCATATGCTATTCTTGCTGCCGTTATTATAGGTAAAATTAAGTACCATATTTCTTTACTAGATTTTCTATTTAAAATACCCAACAAGTATTCCAGTCTATGGGTTGGTCTATTATTTCTTGGATCCATTTTCTTATTGTAGACCAGTATTTTTTTGCAACTGGGCATGTCCACCATAGATGATAACATGTGGAATCGTTATTTTTTGGGGAGAGGAGTTGTGATTCCCGTTGCTTTTCCTTTCTCGCCAGGTGTTGCCCATCAGCAAAAACAGCCAGATGGTCACCTTCACCTTCCAAAATGGCTGCGTGGCCACCCTGCGGACCAGCGGGACCGAACCCAAGATTAAGTACTACGCCGAGATGTGTGCGCCGCCAGGCCAGAGGTGGGGAACACTCTTTGCTGTCCACCGAGCCTGATTCCCGGAAGGCTTTAGCCAAGTTGTGTGTGTCTCTGTGCATGTGTGTGAGATGTAGAGGGAAGAGGGAATGACCTTGAAGGACAGGAGGAAGTCCCACCCGCAAAGCAGCGGTCAGAGAAATGGGGCTGGAACCTTGGCTTGGAAAGTAATGTGGACAAGACATGCTCAGTTGATAGGAAATTAAGGTGAGGGAGAGTGGGGAAGCCCACTAGGAGGTGCAAGAGGCTGTTACTATAGCTTTACAACAAACGTAGTCCTGATCTTTGCAGTTTTGTAGTCTAGCCTTCCTTGTAGGGTGATGGTTTTTATTTTTGACTTTGGAAGGACCTTCCTCCTTAGATGCACAGGGCAGCCTACGTTGGCTTTCCCCCCCTCTAGCATCCCTGTATCTCAATGACAAGGTAATGGAAGGTGGTGGGGGAGCCTATTGGTGGCTAGAGCCGTCGTCTTCTTCTTCTTCCTCCTTCTCCTCCTCCTCCTCCTCTTCTTCTTCCTCTCCTCCTCCTTCTCCTCCTCCTCCTCCTCCTCCTCCTTCTTCTCCTCCTCCTCCTCCTCCTCTTCTTCTTCTTCTTCCTCTCCTCCTCCTCCTCCTCCTCTTCTTCTTCTTCTTCTTCTTCTTCTTCTTCTTCTTCCTCCTCCTCCTTCTTCTTCTTCTTCCTCTCCTCCTCCTCTTCTTCTTCTTCTTCTTCCTCCTCCTCCTTCGCCGCCTCCTCCTCCTCTTCTTCTTCCTCCTCCTCCTCCTCTTCTTCTTCTTCTTCTTCTTCTTCTTCTTCTTCTTCTTCTTCTTCTTCTTCTTCTTCTTCTTCTTCTTCTTCTTCTTCTTCTTCCTCCTCCTCCTCCTCCTCCTCCAAACCCCTTTCCCTTCTAGCCCTGATGATGTTCCCTAGTTGGGTCATGAAACGTCTGCAAGAAGACAGCCAAGATGAGAGAGCATCAAGGACCCCACAGTCCTTCCTTCTCCTCCTCCCCTTCTCCTTCATCTCCACTTGCACACCCCTCTCCCTTCTGGAACTGATGATGTTCCCTAGTTGGGTCATGAAACGTCTGCAAGGAATCCGACCAGTTCAGAGGGCAAAAAGAACCCAAAGTCGTCCTCCTCCTCCTCCTCCTCCTCCTCCTCTCCACAAACTCCACTCCCTTCTAGCACCGATGAGGTTATCTACGATAGTTGAGTAATAAAATGTCTGCAAGGAAAACAGCCAGGCTCAGGGGTCACCAGGCACCCCGCAGTTCAACCCTGTCTCCTACTCTTTCCCGTTGCCCAGCTGACAGCCCTGTCCTCCCCCGTCTTTCCCCCCCTCCCAACGTGACAACCAAGACTTTGCCCCTGAGGAGCAGCCCTTGGGCTGCCCCCTTACGTTGCGGTTTTAGGACAGACCTTCCCATTCCGACGAGGACGGCTTTCCAACTTCTCTCTCCCCTGCTCTGTAGCGACGTCAGCGTGTTGGAAGAGGACCTGACAAAGCTCATCGGGGCCCTGGTGGAGCAGTTCCTGGAGCCCAGCAAGAACCAACTCACCTGGCGCTGTGTGTAGCCGCCCCCTCCCCACCCCTCGTCGGCGTTCTTCCTCCTCCCGCTGTGTCCTGCGGAATCCGGGAACCGAGCGCCAAGCCTCCTCTCCTTGCATTCATATTCATAGGCGTCTGTGAGTTGTTCGCTGCGCGGAGTGTCTGCCGCGTCCCTTCGCCAGCATCCCGAAGCAGTCACAATGTCGTCAGCTTAGTTGTAACCAAGTAGTATCCTGCTTTGCCTCCGGCCGGAGATGCCCGCAAGAGAGACGGAACCGGTGTGAGGGGGGGGGGTGTCTCTGGCACCAGCTTCCGATGTTGTTCCTGCCCCGCAGCGAAGACCGGCTGTCTAAATATTCTTGGCTCTACCACAGTGTTTCTCAACCTTGACCATTTTAAGGCATGTGGACTTCAACTCCCAGAATTTTAAGGCATGTGGACTTCAACTCCCAGAATTCCACAGCCAGCGTTGCTGGCTGTGGAATTCTGGGAGTTGAAGTCCACATGCCTTAAAATGGTCAAGGTTGAGAAACACTGCAGTCTACAAAGATCCTTCCGGAGCTGGGATAACAGTTAGATTGCGGAAGAATAATTGTGTTAAGTCTAAAAAAAAAAAAAAAATAGGTTCTGCTTCCACATCGTTAGCTAGAGTATCGGTATTATCTTTACTGTGTTATCGAGTCTTAATTTTTTGGCCAGGGTTTCCCCCCCCCCCAGCTCATAATGTAGGATTCAGTAGCCCCAGGGCAGGGGTAGGCCACCTGGGCTCTTTGATGACTCGTGGACTTCAACTCCCAGAATTCCTCAGCCAGCCTGGCTCAGTTTGGAAACCTCTCCCTTTCCCCTCAGCATGGCTGGCTCAGGAATTCTGGGAGTTGAAGTCCATGAGTCATGAAGGGGCCATAGTTCCCTCATCCTGGCTCAGGAATTCTGGGAGTTGAAGTCCACGAGTCATAAAAGAGCCAAGGTGGCCTACCCCTGGCCTATACCCAAACCGGGGGTGGGCAACTATAGTCCTGTGGACTTCAACTCCCAGAATTCCTGTGCCAGCATGGGGGAAACTTTGGCCCCTCATGACTCGTGGACTTCAACTCCCAGGATTCCTGAGCCAGCATGAGGGAAACTTTGGCCCCCTCATAACTCGTGGACTTCAACTCCCAGAATTCCTCAGCCAGCCTGGCTCAGTTTGGAAACCTCTCCCTTTCCCCTCAGCATGGCTGGCTCAGGAATTCTGGGAGTTGAAGTCCATGAGTCATAAAAGAGCCAAGGTGGCCTACCCCTGACCTATACCCAAACCGGGGGTGGGCAACTACAGTCCTGTGGACTTCAACTCCCAGAATTCCTGTGCCAGCATGGGGGAAACTTTGGCCCCTCATGACTCGAGGACTTCAACTCCCAGAATTCCTCAGCCAGCATAAGGGAACTATGGCCCCTTCATGACTTGTGGACTTCAAATCCCAGGATTCCTGAGCCAGCATGAGGGAAACTTTGGCCCCTTCAGGACTTGTGGACTTCAACTCCCAGAATTCCTGAGCCAGCATGACTCAGCTTGGAAACCTCTCCCTTTCCCCTCAGCGTGACTGGCTGAGGAATTCTGGGAGTTGAAGTCCACGAGCCTTAAAGTGGCCAAGTTTGAAGACCCCTGATCTAGATAAGTGTTTCCCAAACTTGACAATTTTAAGGCATGTGGACTTCAACTCCCAGAATTCCACAGCCAGTGTTGCTGGCTGTGGAATTTTGGGAGTTGAAGTCCACATGCCTTAAAATTGTCAAGTTTGGGAACATTATTAGATGATGTCCCAGGGAACTGCTCTTTACTGTATTAAAATCCTTGCAGTCCCAGAAAAAGGAAGACAAGCCTTTGGGGGCACCTACGGGGAAAGCACTTGAAGGGACCTGAAGAACTACCTGGAACCCATTAAGCTTCTTTATCTAACCTAGGCAGATTTTTATCCCCCTTTCTGAATAAATCATTTTATTCTTCGAAAATCGAAGTGTTTCACTCTAGGCCATGGTTAGGCAACCCTGGGCTCTTTTATGACTCGTGGCTTTTCAACTCCGAATTCCCTCACCAGCCATTGTGAGGGAAAGGACCCCCTTTCTGAGATAAATCATTTATTCTTCGAAATCGGAAGTGTTCACTCTAGGCCATGGTTAGGCAACCTGGGCTCTTTTATGACTCGTGGACTTCAACTCCCAGAATTCCTCAGCCAGCCATGCTGAGGGGAAAGGGAGAGGTTTCCAAGCTGAACCATGCTGGCTCAGGAATTCTGGGAGTTGAAGTCCACCAGTCATGAAGGGGCCAAAGTTTCCCTCATGCTGGCTCAGGAATTCTGGGAGTTGAAGTCTGCGAGTCATGAAGGGGCCATAATTCCCCCATGCTGGCTGAGGAATTCTGGGAGTTGAAGTCTGCGAGTCATGAAGGGGCCATAATTCCCCCATGCTGGCTGAGGAATTCTGGGAGTTGAAGTCCACGAGTCATAAAAGAGCCAAGGTTGCCTACCCCTTTCCTAGGTCATCCACTCCACAGCCTTTACAGGTGTTTCCAAAGCGGTGTTTGAAGCTGTGCAATAGATAACTCTTGATATGTTTTGTCTTCAATTGACATGCAATATTTATTTATTTATTTCGCTTTTATTTAAAGCTTGACGTACCTTCCAGGTTTTCTATACTTTTGAGTGACGGATACGGAATGCTATTATTATTATTATTATTATTATTATTATTATTATTATTTTGTTTTGTTTTTTAAAAATACGCGATTGTTTTTTCTTTCTGTTTTCTGTATATATTTGCAAGCGCTCCTATTCTAGTGAAGGAAAGCTTAATTTATAAGATGGGAACCTTCCAGGTGACACGGTGGGTAAAATAACGCTTGTTTGAGATCCTACAGCCTGATTGAAAGCGCTGTCGGAAAAACAAAAGGAAGGAGAACCCAACGCTTTGAGATATTCTTTACTGCACTTCGTTCTGGTTTTGGCGAAGAACAAAACTCTCTTTGGAACAAACGAAGGTGAAAGGACAAAATTGTTCTCTTTTTTTTGGGTTGGCGTGCCGTCTTTAGAAATCTCTCCCAAGGTACAGCAGGCGATCCAACTTTCCCAGTTGACATAATGGCGAATTTAGACGAGAAATCTCGAATGACTGAAGCACCCCAGGATAGGCGGTGTGATCCCCTTTTTTATGGGCGAGGAAGAGTGCGCGGTTGAGGCTCTTACGGAAGCACCCCACAAAACAGCGCAACGTGCCACACCGTTGTCCGCACTTTTGCTTCTCAAAATGCTCGAAAATCAGTTGGATTCTGTTGGGGAAAAAAGTCTTCTCCCTCTCTCTTTTTTTGGCTAAAACTGGGAAACGTAGAAGAGCAGCACGCATGCCTTTGATCTGGGCCTTCCCACCAGCCTTTCCTTTGGATGTCTCTGAATCCTTGCGTCACAAACTTCAGAGGAGGACAATTATTATTTGTAAGGTGTTCTAAGTTTGTTTAAAAACGCCTCTTCCATTTTTGCCTGTTCGTACAATGAGAATTGACAGTTTGGGTGTCTTTGTTTTTTTAAGTTTGGCAACTGTTTTGTGTATCTTTCCCTTGTTTTTTTTTTTTTTTTTTTTGCACCATTAAGGGAATGTTTTCGCTCCTGAGCAACTTCCAGGCTTGTGGACTTCCAACTCCCAGACTTGGCTGGCTGGGGGAACTTTGGGAGTTGAAGTCCACGAGTCTTGAAGTTGCCAAGGTTGGACACCCGTGCTGAAGCTCGCAAACTTCTCTTGCCTGCTTTCTGTTGATCTCCCCGGGATGAAGGTACAGCCTTTAAAAAACAAACCACACACACACACACACATGCACACAGAGGCAGGAGATATAAAAACGGACAATATTAGCGTTGTTCCGCTTTTAAGTGGAAAGGACGTCTCTTCTCCCACCGAGTCGACAAGTGTCTTAACGGTCTTCCTTCTCTTCACTCTGTCGTGAAGTCGGCGGCAGCAGCTCTCTTTTAGGACAGGAGAACAGAATGAAAGTCTTGGATCTCTGCCTTGTGAAATAGATCCACTGGGTGCTCTGTTGCCATTGGACCAGAGGTCCATTTTCTCCCTGTTGGTTGTGGCCGGAGAAGGCCACTTCTGGAATACTGTGCGGCAAACCCACGGACTGCTTGGACGGTTGTCCCCTTCGTGGCCGTAGGGAGTGTTTGGCCTCGGAAGGGTGCAACCTCTGCTAGGTGCCGCCCAAATTCCCTGGCAGGCCTTTGGCCTTGACGCTACGGCTGTTCCCCAAGCAGTTGGGGGCTTGAACCCTCCTGAACAAACAAGCCACTTGATGTCTCCGTATGTGTGTGCACGGGGGTGCTGTGGGGTGTGTTGGAGTGACACCACAGCTGGACGGGGTTGGGGTCAGGGTGCAGCCACAGGCAGCTTTGTCCATTGGGATGGGTGTGTTCCCGTGGTTTTAAGGAGACAGCGTTGCTGACCGATAACGCACAAGAGAAGCTCTTTGAGATAGAAGCCATGGTGGTCATTCACACCCAAGACTGGAGGTTGGGTAGATCTTTGGGCAGGGATCCCCACAGCGTGGTTCTCTACTTTTGAAGAATCAAGTCGGTCTTGTTGAGAACTTTCGTCTTGGAAAATAAGGTCCTGCTCTCCAGGCCTTGTGTAGTTAGCACTGACAGTTGAGTAGACCTCCTAAGAACAAAGCCTTCTCTTGGTCAACCTTAAGAGGATGAGAAGTCACACCACCTTCGAGAGGCCTTGACTGACCATTAATAAGAGTTGGATCTTCCTTGATCTGTTTCCTTCAGAAGCTGGTGGACATTTTGACCCCAAAGGGTCCTCATGGGAAGTAGCAAGAGAGGAGCGTCATAGTCTCCTGGCTATGTGTGGCTATCCAGGCCTTGTGTAGCTAGCATTGAAACTTGAGTAGACCTCCTAAGAACAAAGCCTTCTCTTGGTCAACCTTAAGAGGATGAGAAGTCACACCACCTTCGAGAGGCCTTGACTGACCATTAATAAGAGTTGGATCTTCCTTGATCCGTTTCCTTCAGAAGCTGGTGGACATTTTGACCTCAAAGGGTCTTCATGAGAAGTAGCAAGAGAGGAGCATCATAGTCTCCTGGCTAGGGGTAGCTCTCCAGGCCTTGCGTAGCTAGCATTGAAACTTGAGCAGACTTCCTAAGAACAAAGCCTTCTTCTCTTGGTCAACTCTAAGAGGATGAGAAGTCACACCACCTTCAGGAGGCCTTGGCTGACCATTAATAAGAGTTGGATCTTCCTTGATCCGTTTCCTTCAGAAGCTGGTGGACATTTTGACCCCCAAAGGGTCTTCATGAGAAGTAGCAAGAGAGGAGTATCAGCCTCCTGGCCACAGCCCTCGCTTCCTCACACAAACACCAAAGTTACGACAAAGTTCTTCAGGAAGAGAAGCTTTTTTCTCCCCATGGATGGGCCCACCTGCCAGGGCTGTGGCCCAGAGTCAAGATCTCCCCCCCCCCCCCCGAGGTGGAAACTTGTACCTTGAGTTCAGCTTCTGAGTAGCATCAATTAAACGCCTACAACTTTCCACTGCTTTGTAGCTTCCCTTGGAAAATGTGACATGTCCACAAGTAACGTAGACCAGGGGTCTTCCA